TTGCAAAACTCTGGTCAAAATTTGTAATCATGCATTGCAAAAGTCACTCTAAAGTCACTCTAGACATGGGAGTCAGATTAATGCTTAAAGTTCCCCTGGCTTGGTGCAATCCTCTGGAAAGGTGCAACGCCGTTTAATTCCTACTTGTGCAGGCTTGCAGAGGAGTGTTGTGTAAACACAAGAAAATGATTAGTCCAGACCATGTTTATCCATTCTATTATGAGCAGACCTTTGCCCAACATCTTCCACACAATTCAAAATCAAAGTAATTAATGCAAAAGCATGCTTAGCAGCATTCAGTGAATTAGAGGGAAAAAAAACACTTTAATATTTTTCAGTTCCTTCATTTGCCACAGCACACTTGTGTGTCTGTGCTATTCTTGTATCAGTGAGATAGTAACCAAAAGCCTTATCGTGCTTCTCTGTGTCTGGAGGGGTTGACGGTCATTCCCCTCCCACCTGCAGTCGCTGCGCTGGAGGGAGCGAACTGAAAGTTTGGCAAAGACCGAAACAGAAGGAGGATAATGGAAGAGACGCTGACAAAGCGTGGGCAAATCTAATAAAAAAATGCTAATGAAAGCCTGGAGAAGTGTTTTTTATTAATGGAAATCAAACATGAGCTGTAGTGCAGAGTGGGCTGGAGGTTAAAGGACAGCAGTTCAGAACTGTGAATGCCAACAATCAGCAGCCATTTGACAGATGGATCAGAGCCCTCCTGGCCCAGACCAGACTAAAAGCTTGTGGTCACGTGACCAGTGGATTAGTGTTAGCCCAACTGAAAAGTGGGAGGAGGTTAGTGTGCATTACACCACATGCTTCCTGATCACTTCCCCTTAAATACGTTTCCCTTTCTGTTTCACTCTGAAAAGATCTGATTATTGTTCGTCCACAGGGGGATTACGTTCAAATAATAAATCAACTGACTTTGGATGTTTGCACTAAGTAGTTTCTCTTAGGCAAGGGAAARATTTGTTGGTTTGCCCATCGTTTAAGCAGTTCAGAGCCAAGCAGCTCCACAGTACAGTCACTAGTGCATAACTGATTGTGACACTTCACCTTTGACTCATCGCTCAGTCAGATCAGGACTGCTGCTCTGATCTGAAAACTTCCAGCGACTCAGGATGTCATGGCAAACGATGAGTTTCATTTAGACTTGAAAATCTGTTACAAGGGTGCTTCGCAACATTGTAAAACTGCATGTTCARATGCAACATTATCAACCCTAAAAGGCTAAAAATACAACAAATAAAACCCAGAAGGATTTTGAAACTGCTGAGAGTTGGACTCCTGTGTTTTCCTCAACAAAAAAAACAGCTTACTAATAAATGTGCAGCCTTTTCCAGGTTCACCGAACCCTACATTTGTCTGGCAGCAGGGAGTAAAAAAAAAGTGAGAACACACCAAAGGACCTGCCATGCTGTGAGCACATGAAAGAACAAGTTTGCAAAATAAYCTTAACAGAAATAATATTTCCACTACTTGCTGCCACTCCTACATCTGCGTCTCGGGGACATGTTGCACCAGTGAACTCATCCAGCAAGTTCTTGCTCCAATCCAAAACACCCTTATTTTCAACAGAAACCACTGAAAACGCCTCTCTTTTCGCACTAAGCACCGTCCTTTGAGAGGGAGTAAACAGGGTAACATGGCGCCTGCCAACAGGGGCAAGTGTGACAGGAAAGGCAGAACATCATTTCCTAGAGATCACAGTTAAACACAGGGRGGGAAAAACACGTAAAAATAAGCTACTTCCAAGAAAATAAAGCAGATTTAAGAGTTGTAAAATTCTATATACAATGTAAACCCTGAGCATAAACAAACAACTTAACATTWAATCTCTGAGCTGATATAACCTAAAAAAAAGTTAGTTCATCTGTCTAAAACCCAACAAATGCAGAAAAAACAGCATCCTCAGAAAGACAAATCTAATATCACTGCGATTTATTATCACTTGCTGCTGAAGGAAAAGGCGTGGCGAATGGTTTTGCTTGTGCGTGTGTGTTAGCAGAATACCTCAGACGTCACACAACTGAATTTTGACAACACTGTAACTGAATTCACATCAGCTGTTTATAGGGCTGCCACAAACGAATATTTTAATAATCGATTAATCACCGATTATTTATTCGATTAGTCGACTAATCAGATCATACGTTAATTGAATATAAAACATACAGCTTATCACGCCAGAATGCAGCTGCTATTATATAACCATCGTTAGATTTTAGCTATATGCTAACTAAAAATAATTGCTGTGGAAGGCAAGTTCTGCTCTGCASAAGTTTCTCATTTTCTTAAAAAGATCCCACACTTTGAGCTCTGTTGTCAGGTAGCCATGATACCAGAGCCTGTCTGTATAATGTCTTGTGACGTCCACGGCCTACCCCAGTTACCACTACTGTACATGTGTGTCAAAGACAGAAAGGCAGATGTGGCAGTGGAAGGTGTCAAAGCAGTTTGGAGAGAAAAACAAAGTAAAGAACAAAAAAAAAAAAAGAAAACGATGAATCGATTATTAAATTAGTCATCGATTATTTTAATAATCAATTAGTCGTCGATTAATCGTGGCAGCCCTAGCTGTTTAACTGCTCGACACAATTCAAGATGGACGGAACAGAAAAGCCATCCTAGCAAACATGAAACCAGCTTTAATTCCGCCAATTTTACAGACGATATACTAAAATATTGGCGTGGTGGTAGTTCAGCGTCAACTCAAACTTACAGTGCTTGACGATTACAAACCGATACTTCAAAACGTTGAAATTAAAGAGCCTGCGTTCACTCGGTAACATTTTAGACAACTTGTGAAAATTCTATCAWACACTGAAGATGGAATAAAAAAWATCTACTGGAAGCCTCWTTTGGATGCTAACAAGCTGAATGATATACGAGTAAAACAAAATTCTCATAAGTCTGCCTATAAGTTCTCTAAAACATTATAGTGTGACAGGGTCTTAACTGGAATAAACTCTGCTTGTTTGTTAGCAAAATATCTCCTGAACCACTGGATGATTTTAATGAAACTTTCAGAAAGCGATCAGTGGTTTATGACTCATTAACATTGGGACTCAATAACAATACCTCTGTCAGTTTTACAGATTTTAAGCTGAAAACTGCAGTGATTGCGGCTGACTTTCAGAAACAGCTGCTATTAGCTGCTATCAGATATTACAGTATCGCACATAACGACGCTATAAAGGCTGCAACTCAGTTATTTCTTAGCATGACATAGTTGAGAACTCTGGTATGTGTTTTCTTTTTACTTTTCTTTAATAAATGACTAACTTTGGCCTGGTGCAAAAGTGGAAAAGCATCATCAACTAACTTCCCCTACAGCTTGTGATGAGAGGAAAACTCAATTCATAAAGCAACGGGTGTGTTTGTTTGTGTGAGTGTTTGGGATGTGATCACTGTAGGCTCATTGAGTTATCATATTTTCAATGAACTTGAAACACATGAGCCTGTTTGTAGTGATGAACAAAAAAATATGTGGGCTTTTCAACCAGCTAAAAAAAGTAAAAGATACCAGGAGGGTGCAATCCCTGCAGGTAGCCTCGAGTGGATAATCACAAATAAAAACACACACGTGAACTCCTACAAAGTAAAAGGTATTCCTAGAAATGACACGCACGTCAAAGGCTTTTGTGACATTTTTAAAAAAAATGTTTGTAAGCCTCCACAATTACCAAGGTCTTCATTCAGTCATTGTGCCTGCAAGCTCCGACAGCCAGCTTTGTTCCGACTTTCATGAACAATCTTTTCAGGTTTCTTTCAGGCCGCTGTGTAACAGTGAACACACATGGACCGGCGTGTGTTGCAACATCACACGTTGGTTAACTATTGCTAAAACCAACTGGCACAGACCTGCTGAAAAAATGACATTTACGTCTTCTGCGTTTCTATTATCTTAACTTACAGATCACACTTTTAATCTGATCTGTTTGAATTAACCAAAAAAAAAAAAAAAAAAACACAGTGGATGCAGTAAAAGTGAAAGTGCACATTAAAAGACAGCAGTTGTTGACATTTAAACATTGTTGTGCTGCTGCATCTTTAGCCTGTGTTGCTTTTTTAAACTGCTGTGCCCAAATTCGAGATCCTGATTTTTACATAGATTTTATATAGATACATTGTTTTTTATTTATTTTTATCTATTTTTATGGTTACATTTTATTTGTTTCTGTTACTTTTTACTCTTTGTACGGTGTCCTTGAGTGCCAGAAAGGCGCCTTTGAAATAAAATGTATTATTATTATTATTATTATTATTATTATTATTATTATTATTATTATTATTATTATTATGTGAACCGATTAATCGGCTGACTGATTTTTTATCATATTGGCCACTTGAAAAAATAAACTACTACTACTACTAATAATAATAATAATAATAATAATAATAATAAATCTGAAATCAGCCATGCCTGTGCAGATGGCTTCTCACTTATGTAAACAAAGACACATGTTAAGTAAAAAAAAAAAAACTCCCAGTTTTTAATTTAAGAGCTCGGCAGGCATCATGAGTTAAAATATTTAAATACTTTATGAGTTTGTTGTATTCGTGACTTTAATGAGTTTAATCACCCCCAAAACTTGGGAGTTTTACCTCTATATCCTAATTTAACTCCTACGTATGGCTTTAAAGTTACTTTAAAGGCATCACTTGCTTTAAAAATGAGCCATTTTTGCGACTAAAATAAGTAATGTAAAAGGCGCAGACAGCCCGTGAGGACACAGGCACAGGATGATAACCTGCCTGTTGATTCAGCGGGAGAASAGGAGGAAAAGTAGGACGTAAACAAACACGAATAATACGAAGAGCAGCGGTTTGTTTACAAAGCGCTGTCAGAATATGATTTCGCAACGAACAGAGTCAAAGACACGGGGGCACGAGAGAGAGGGCGCGCGCGCGCGAGAGAGAGAGAGAGAGATAGAAGGGCGAGGACGCGCACCTCCTCCCCTCATTTAAAACACCGTCAAGCAAACTGAGACACTCACCTCTGCGGAGCGACCGAACTTGTTGTCCGTTTTCATAAACCGARGCAGAGAGAGAGAGTCTACAAAGCGTCGCGAGTAAAGCTCCGTCCGTCCGTTTCTCCCCGACAGTTCACGAGCTCTGTGCCTCGCTCCGGCTCTGACACACACACATACACGCGCACTCACACACACACACACACACACACACACATACAGATACACACCGCCCACTTCCGGCGGTTCTTCTACGTCTGACGGTTTCTACGGATCTCTGCTCCTGAGGGGGACTGATTTCCAGCCCCGAGCCTGGCAACTTTCTGTTATTTATTAACCCTGCTGACACACACACACACACACACACACACACACACACACACACACACACACAC